GGGTGAGAGCATCCCCCCGAGCACGGCCATCTCCCCCCAGCCCTGCCCCGCCGGACCCCGCACCGTGGTACCGTTGTCGGGGCGGGGATGCTCCGCTGCAGCTCTCCCTCCCTCTGCCCACGGGGAACCGGCAGCGGTTCCACCGACCCACGGGGGTGGAAGGGACGGCACCTGGCACGATTCCCCCGGGAGGCAGTGCCTGGCACTGCCACACATCCTCACCATGACGAGGTGTGCACGGAGCGGGCATCCAAGTGCCGCCACCTTTCCTGCGGCAGCCCTGTGCCCCAGCCCCTGGGGGATCACTTTTGGGGTGACCCCTGTCCTCTCTCTCCATTTCAGGCTGGTGTCAACAGTCCAAGCCACGATGGCAACGGTGTCAGGGATCACGGTTGTGCTCAGCTGCAAGAACGTGGTGCATGACAGGTAACCCAGAGCCCAGCTGGTCCCTCTGCCCAGTGGGGAGCGTGCCGAGGATGTGCTCAGCCAGCTCGGGGCTGGAGGGTGTTCTGCCAAAGGCTTGCACGTACAAAGGGGAGAGGAAAAGCAGTTCTGTGTTCCTCTTTCTCCCACTTGGGCTGGAAGGGTTGGGCAATGTGCTGGCTGTGCACCCCCCAGACAGCAGCAGCTTGCTCAGGCCTGGGGGGTGTTCTCAAAGGATGGGCTGTAACATGGGCTGTGTATGAAAGAGAAATACAGACATCAGCAGCTCTGAAGGGGTCGGGACTCTCCTTGCTGGAAACTGAAATTGCTCCAGAGTCAAGCAGACCCGGTGAGAACTGATTTCAGAGGTGCACCAAGGCATGCCAAAAGGATTCTGAAAGAGTCCAGGAATGGTAAAGCTGGGATGGAGCTCACGCTGAAGGAAAGTCCTGCTGCCTTGCTCTCGGTGCTCTGAGATAAACTGCCCAGAAGTGGCTCTCAGGAGGAGCGATAGTGTAATCTGGGTCAGAAGGCTTGAAAACACAGCTATTATCCAGACTAGCAGAGAAGATTGCAGGAGGGAAGAATATAATTATGCCGAGCTGGAATTCGACCGTCACACACCGATTTTAGGGTGATTTTTAGGAAGGGCTGCCACCTTGGCCATAGCAGACCTGTCTTTAATACACAGATACGAATTATCTTGCCTTGTTCTAGGTAGTGATACCTTCCCAGATTCCTCAGACCTGCTTAACCCAGGCAATCTATGAGTTAACTCTTTGCTCTGAAATAAAATTTCTGCTGTATAGATAAGGCAGATGATGAATCCCAAAGCCACACAGACAGAAGGTGCTGCCAGCAGCCCTCCTTCCCCCGGAGCTGTCTGCTTGCCTGAGTGTACTCAAGGCCAAGGGCTCTGTGCAAACACTTTGTGGGCAGAGACCTCGATTTTCTTTGAATCTGGAGGAAATTGAGCCCAGTGCTCAGCAGGGAGGGCCTTGCAGAATGACAGCAAGACAGCAAGCCAGGAAGCATCACAAAGGTTGCAGTAAAATTTGCCAGTTTATTTACAGAGGCAGACAATCGTTATATTGCTGGTGCTGTAATTGCCCTCCAAAACCCTGGGCAAGTTTGTAAACACAATCACTTGCCACCTGTGCTTCACACCACTCACATCTTTCCATCTGGAGCAGGAACTCCCGCAATAAATTTTTTTCTTGGGATGGCAGGAGAGCAAAAAGAGATTTAAGCCCCAAGCTACATTTCTCCAAGCAACAGCAAAGGGTGGTTTTGCCTTTTTTTTTTTTTTTTTTTTTTTTTTAATTTCATCAGTGTGATTTCACACAGGACTTTTTTAAGGAGGCTGGTGGCCCTGCAGAGCAGGGCTTGCTGCTGCCCAGATTGTGCAACCAGGATTCCAACATGCTTTGGGAACAGGCAGCTGCCTGCAATTATTTCCCAACTGACAAACGCCTCATGGGGGTTTATTGCCTGTATTGGATATTTTGTGCTTCACTCTCCAAACTCCAGGCCAGCCATCCCTGGTTAACTCTGAGTTCTCCACATGCTTCCCAAACATTCCCTGGGTTAGGCAGCTGCTGATGCAGTGAGACAGGCAGGAGAGACCCAGGATTAGGGGTTTCCACCACCAAGCACCAGCTCTGGGGGATCCAAGGGTTTAGGAGGGAGATCACCTGTGCAAAGGTGTTGGCTTGGTGCTGGATCCCAAAAAATGCTGTGCCTCTGGCCTGTGCAGCAAACACCTGGCTGTGGGGCTTATCAGGATCCTTCCTTAGAGCCGTGTTTGTGCTTGGCCAGGCTGAGCTCAGTGCCTGGCACAGCCCAGCAGCAGCAGGGTCAGCACTGAGATCTGTCCTCCACACGTACCAGGCACCTTTTCTCTGGGTCAGCCTGTACTTGCTGAGCCAAACAGAGTTAAAATTCACCCCCTTTCAGCTTGAAAAACCCATTGAAATGCTGTCATTTCAGTCCTAAAGATTCTTCCACCTCCCAGAGCATCATGAGGTGCTGGGAGCTGTTTTAATGCCTCTGAGTGTGCTCTCCCTCTCAGGCACTGGCTGGCTGTGGAATACATCTGGGTCCTGGTCCCCTACATGACCTACGACATCTATGTCATGTACCTCTGCCACTGGCACAAGAGCCAGGAGAAGGGGATCCTCGAGAAGAAGCACTCGCTGGCCAGCGTGTGGAGCTTCCTCCTGCAGGAGAGGCTGATGGTGACCCACCACCTCTTCATCCTCATCGTGCTCACCCCCATCACCCAGGTAAGGGCTGCTGCAGGAGTCCAGGAGCCCCTGGATAGCTGGGTATTGGCTCCTGGCCACCTCTCTGCAGGGTCCTGTGCTCAGTGCTGGTTTTCCTTACAGCACTTCAGGGGAGAGCTGGGGGACTTCTTTGTGGGCTGCATCTTCACAGCAGAGCTGAGCACGCCTTTTGTTTCACTGGGCAAAATCCTCATGCAGGTAGGTCACTAAGGGTGGGGTTGGGGATTTTGTCCCCAATTTGTCCTCTGTCCCTGCCCCAGGCTCCATCAGCCCTCTCCAGACAGTGGCTGAGCTGGGGGGGTGTCTCAGAGAGGGGCAGCCCCACAGCTGTAGCACAAATCTCCCCTGCAGTGCTGCCTTCCTCCCAGTGTCCCATCCCTTTCTCCCACCTGTAAGCCCAGTGGCATCCCAGAACTGGGGGCTGTGCCGTGAGCTGGTGCTGCACCACGTTCATTCCTCCTCTGCCCTCCTCCATCCCTTCCCACCCCACCTTCCTCCAGCTCTCCTGGATGCTCACCAGCACCACCAGCGCTCTGGAGCGCTGCTCACCCCACATTCCCTTCCTCCCCCAGCTCAAAATGCAGGACACGCTGCTGCACAAGGTGAACGGGATCGTCATCCTGGTGACCTTCTTCCTGTGCCGCATCCTCCTCTTCCCCTTCATGTACGCGGCCTACGCCCGCCAGGTGGGGATCCCGCTTTACCTGGTGCCGTTCCGCATCCCCCTGCACTGCAACATCGCCAACGCGTCCCTCATCGCCCCCCAGCTCTACTGGTTCCGCCTGCTCTGCCGCAAGGCCGCCCGGCTCTACGGCGGCTCTCCCGCCCACCGGAGCAGATAACGGAGCCGGTAACGGCCGGGGCTGGCACGGGGCAGCCCCCGGCCCTTCCCTCGGGGAGCAGCTGGAAGCACCTCCCGTGTCCGGGAAGGTTTTTCCTCGTGTGCTCCTGCCGGCCTGGAAGCTCGGCACCGCGGCACGGCCGAACGGAGGCTCACGGAGCCGGGTTTGTTCCGCCCCGCGGCGGCTCCCGGCGCTGACACCGGACACCGGCCAGGGCGGGGATGCTGCAGCCCATGGGAGCTGTGCTGGAGCCGCAGCACAGCTCTGCGGAGCCGTGCCTGACCTGTACTGACTCCAGCCCTGTCCGGCCTCTCACCTCCTGCTGCTGCTGAGCTCAAGCTCCACTCAACCCGACGGTGCTTTTCACCACAAGTGGCTCGGGGGACTCCTGTGCCCCCAGCAGGGCTGGAGGGCACAAGTTCATGGTTCTGCTGTCACAGGGCAGGATCTGCCAAGCCCTTCCTTGGCAGGGGCTGCAATTTTCCCTCCCCTAACCACAGCTGCTTTTATCTGGCCTGCATCCCCCCCAGCAGGGATTTAAAACCACCTGGCACGCCCTGCTCTGCTCTTGCCCTCCAGCTGGCACCACCACACCCTGGAAACAGCTGTCCATCCATCCCTCCAGCCCCATCCCACCCCCCATGGGGCTGCACAGAAGGAATCAGCAACCCCAGAGCAGGATGCTGAGCTGGTCCTTGGCCAGTTCAGCCCATTTCCACTTCTAGTCACTTATAGCAAAATGGGTACAGGCTCCCCAGCCCGCCCTACACCACAGGGTGTGTGCAATCAGACCACAGCCGAGTTCATCCCCTGCAGCCAGCACCAGCCAGGACAGCCACCTCCTCCTGCAGCTCCTGTACCTGCTCCAGGCAGGGAACTGCACTGGCACAGCCCCCGTGCCCAGAGACCTGCGACAACTCTGTGCCTTTCATTCTGTCTGAAACCAGCAGCCAAGCTCTGCGAAATCTGGATCTTTTGGGTGTTGGATCTGGTCCCAACCACTGCTGCTGTTCTGGATAGAGTGTAAAAAAAAAACAAAAAGGGCCTCTTCCGACCCCTGGTTGTTGTTGCAGAGACTCCACAGTAACCACTGAGACCAGCTGATGTTACAAACTCCTGCAACTCTTTACAGATGTTGTATCTCACTGTTTTCATTGCAAATAACGTGCCTTATGTAAGGACAAAAATATCCCCAGCCAATGAGGCACTCCAGTTTGCACTAACACTGCCCTATTTACTATCAGGAGACCAATAAAGATTTCCTCTCTGAGTCACACCACTGGCTGGCTCTTCCACATGCCGTTCATTACTGGGTGGGGGTGTTACGTGTGGGGTTACTGCTGCACCCCCACCTCCGGGCAGAAGCAGCACACATGGATTTCCAGAGGTTCCTGCCTGTCCTGAACTCACCCAACTCGCTTCCCAGCCTCCAACTCGCTTCCCAGCCTCTGGCAGCATGGAGCAAAACCAGCAATTCTCCTGGGACTAGGAGAGGGCTGGTGGCAAAGCAGCCAGAGGGAAGCTATTTCCTCGATGCTGGAGGCTGCTGTGTAAATGCAGAGCCAGCAGCCACAGAACTGGCAGCTTGGCTCAGGAACAGCTGCGCCCAGTTATTCCAATGGAAAACCAAAGCGCCTCCTCCTACCCATCTTCATACAGCCGCTTCCACTGCTTAGTGGGAGAGCACAGCAGGGAGGGAGTAAACTCAAAAGAGAAAAGTGAGGGTTTATTACAGATCATACAAGGTCCACATCAGTGCTCTGGGCGTGCTCCCAGCTTGCTGAGCTTCTGCAGGAGGGTGCAGCGCAGCTCCTCGTGCCCCAGGCTGTGGGTGACGGCCTGCAGGAAGTGTCCCTCGTTGGCTCTGCGCAGCGCGGCGCATGGCGACCCGTCAGCCTTGCTGGACACCTCGTACTGCGACAGCACCTCCAGGGCCACCACCAGCAGAGGCTCCTCACAGCCCCCAGCAGGCAGCATGGCAGCCACGTGCAGCAGGTGGCAGAAGAGCTGGATGCAGGTGAAGGACACCTCCTGCGCGCAGGGCTGAGCCGCAGCCGCCGCCGCGGCCTTGAGGGAGGCCAGCAGGTCGGTCAGGCTGGCGCAGTACAGCTGCACCACGTGCAGCCAGGCCTCTGGAGGCAGCCAGCTGGAGCAGCTGGAGCTGCAGAGGAGCTGGAAGCCCCGCAGGAAGAGCACGGAGAGCTGCAGGTGGCAGGCGAAGGGGCGCAGGTTGAGCAGGGGCACGTGCTGCACGTACTCCAGCGTGTAGGGCACATGCAGCACCTCCCTCTGCAGCAGCTGCTCCACCACGGGCACCAGCCTCCTCCACTCGCCGGGGCTGCACCAAGGCAGCACCTGGATGAGGGCCACCAGGAAGCCTTTGCTGAAGAGATTCACCTCCTCGGGGTTGTCCACGTTGACGCAGAGCAGCGCCAGCATGGAGTCCCTGAGCGCTGGGGACACGCAGCAGCACTCCATCCACGCCAGCAGCCCGCTGCCCGGCCCGTAGGCTGGCCAGGACTGGCACGTCCACTCGTCCTCAGGGAGCCTGCAGATCTCGAACAGCGTCGCTGGGACCTCGTTCTTGAAGTGATCCCCATAAAGCTTCTTCAGACGGAGCCCCACAGTCCAGTCCAGGGATGCCACCTTCCTGTGGAGCCAGGCCAGCGACTGCACCCACAGCTCCGAGGAGGGGACGGTCTCTGGTCCCACCAGCTCGCACAGCTGGCACAGGATGCTCAGAATCAGGTCTTTGGTCTCCAGGGAAGGGAAGAGCTGCTCCCTAGGCCGATGCCAGTACTTGGTGTAACCATCCAGAAGTTTGCAGAGGCTAAGGAGAAGTGGGAATGGATGGCAGGACTTAATCCAGTGCTCTTCTGAGCAGGATGGTATTCCCAAAACCTTACTGAGGATCTGCAGGCTCAGCTCAATATGAGCAGAGTCTGACTTTAAACAGGGAAGGACAAAGGCTTTGGTCACTTCTGCAGGTGACACAAGTGGGGTGGCTGAGCCTGGCTGCATGAGAAAGGCCAGGAACTGAAGGAATTGCTCCTCTTCCCTCGCCGTGGAAAGCTTCCCCCACACTGCCTCCTCCAGGCACCTCACCACCAGGCTGCGTGGCTTGCCTGCACCCTCGTGGCTCTCCAGGAAGCTCAGTGCTGGGAAGGAGCAGAGGATTTGGGCGAGGAACTGGTGCGCCCCGAGGTTGACCACAGCAAGATGACAAACCTGCTTCACTGTGGCCTCGGGGGACAGCAGTGTCAGCCTGGCCACAGAAGCCACAGCCCTGGCCAGGCCTTCATCAGACACACTCTCTGTGATCTGGTTCAAAGTCACATTCAGGTCCTCCTGGAAGCCCTCCCTGACAACCTGCACGTTCTGGGACAGACCTGGGCCGCCCCAGGACGCCAGGACAGCTGAGATCACTTTGTTTTTGTCACTCAATGAAAGCTCAGTGTAGCACTCCACGATGGCTTTGGTCACTTGCATCTGCAGCTCTTGGGCCTCCTGGTCATGGTGGGAAGTAGCAAAGTTCACCAGCGTCTCCAGCAGTTTCAAAACTAGCTCAGGAGTCTGGAACAGAGCTTTATTCTTCACCAGGCACTCGACCCAGGCCTTTGAAAAAGCCCAGGTCTTTTCAGATGCAAAAACAGAGCAGGTTTCCCCATGGCGGTCCAGCCTCTGTGCAATGATTGCCATGGCAACTGAAGACACAAGGCTGGTGTCCAAACCCTTCAGGACTGCACCGGTGTCCCTGAGCAAGTCCTTGATGAGCTGTGTCACCTCTGACACCACCCATGTCCCGCCATCCCCCAGGTCTCTGGTCTCCAAGAGGAAATCCAGGTTCTTCCCAAGGCTGCTCAGAGCATCCAGGAGCCGGTAGCTCTCAAAGCAAAGCCCCTCACATCCCCTCAGAGTGTCCTGCAGCTCCTCTCCCCAGGCCTGCAGCAAGCTGCAGAGCAAGCCCAAGCCATCGAAGAGCTCCTCACGAGAGGGTTTGGTCAGGCACAGGAGGCTCAGGCTCCTCTCTGCCTCCCTCACCTTCTCTCCCAGCTCGCAGGGGTGGTACTGGCTGTCAGCATCACTGCTCCAGAGGCTGACCACGGCGCCGAGCTTGGCCAGGTGCTCCGCGATGGGCAGGGGGCTGTGCCCCGGCCCCAGCCCCGAGGAGAGGCACAGCAGCTCAGCCAGGTTGGCCAGGGCGTAGCACCTCAGGCGGGGCTGGGCGATGCTGCCTCGGATCAGCTTTAACCCCTCCAGCAGCACCGCGGGCAGCCCGGCGGTGGCCGCGGCGCTCCCAGGGTCACCCTTGAACCTCTTTGGGGGCTGCAGACCATCCTCGGGGGGGGACTCCCCGCCGTGCTGGTGGATGAGAGCGCTGAACGCCGACACCGTGGCATCCTCCTGCCCCTCCCTGTGCTTCAGCACCTCCCACCACACGTCCAGGAAGAAGCTGACGTCCGACAAGGAGGTCTCGCTGGAGATGTACCGCACCAAGCTCTGCAGCTGTGCCCGGCACACGGCCGGCGGCAGCGCCAGCAGCAGCTGCACCCAGAGCCGCGGCTCGCCCAGCGCCTTCACCAGCTCGAAGAGCGCGGCGGGGCTGACATCGGGGATCATCGCGCCCACCGAGAAGAACCCGTCATCCCTCCAGCCCCACTCCAGCGCCGGCAGCAGGATCTTGGCCCACACGATGGCCACGGCCTCCTTCTTCCACCGGCGGCGCGGCGCGGGGCAGCGCTCGGCGATCTCGCGCAGCGCGTCGGCGATGGGCAGCCCCGCGCGGGGCCAGTCGGCCTTGCGCAGCTCCCGCAGCGGCCGCGGCTGCAGCAGGCGGGCGGCCAGCAGGAAGCCGCCGTGCAGGATCGCCGTCTCCTCGCCCACGGCCCAGGGCCCGCCCGCCGCCATGGCGGGCCCGCGCTCCGCCGCCGCCATGGCGCCCGCGCGGTGACGTCACGCCCGCGCTGCGCTGACGTCACGCCGTCCGCCCCCGCCCCGCCGCGCGCTCGCAGCGGCCCCTGGCGGCGCGGAGGTGTGCTGCTTAATTAATTAATGAAATCATTAATTAAATCATTAATGAAAAAATAACGAATTAATTAATGAAATCATTAATGAATTCATGGACTAATATAATTAATGAAAAGATTAGTGAATTAATTAATGAATGAATTCATGGACTAATATAATTAATGAAAACATTAGTGAATTAATTAATGAATGAATTCATGGACTAATATAATTAATGAAAAAATTAATAAATGAATTCATGGACTAATTCATTGCCATGCTCCACTATCAATGTGTTTAATCATACAAATAGGATTCCAAACCGCCATTAAAATGGAATTCAAAAAGCTGACTGAAAAAAAAAAAACAAATCGCAGTGAGGAGTTTTTCCTGCTCCACCTCAGAAGTGCCAACGCTGCCCGATCGATCGTCTCTATCAAACTCGTTTTGCGATGAAAACCTGATTTAAACGATTTTATTTAAGGTTTTCATCAAGGAAACGAGCAGTCAGGCAGCATACGTGGCACAAGCAATGATGGGAATGACTCCCTGTATTCCCAGCAAAAGCAAAGCAACTTCACTCCAACACAAAAAACCCTGAATTGTTATTTCCAAAGGCAGCTTCTCACCAACAGCTAAGTGAAAAACTTATTTCAAGCTGCCCCCTGGCACCTCAGCAGACAGTGCAGCTCCAAACCCCAAAGCACAGCCTCAGCTCCCTGCTGGAACGTGGAAATCTCCTGGAGAAAGACTGGAAACCCAGCAACAGCAGGATCCCAGTGAGAAACACACCACGGGCTGAACATTTCCCCTTGGAAGCTGGGGAAACTCCTTGGAATAACAAGGACTGGAGTATTCACGCAGCTTGGCAAGATCATTTCTTTGTTCCCAATAAAGGGATGCACCCCACACCTCCCTGGAGAGGGGGAGTAGCCACAGCTGCCTCCAAATCTCCTCTCTAGCCTGCAAATGAAGGACAGCTAAAGCAAAGTAATCAGGAAATTAATTAATCAGAAAATAACCTATCCACCTTTCCTTGAAGCATAACAACAACACAGAAATGTGATTCTCTCTTGACTGATGGTCCCTGTTTTGAAGCCAAGGGCTCAGCTGCTCCTTTGCTGCATGGCCCCCATTTTTTTGGATGGATGAGATGTGAAAGGGACAGAGCAGCAGGCCAGAGACATCAGCTTAAATCAACCCAAAAAAACCCACCACAGGAAATCCCAGCACCTTCTGATTAGGAAGGCAGCACTTTAACCAGGATTGGCACTTTCTTGGAAGAACTCCAAGGCACAGAATAGCAGCACAGGCCATTACTCCAGCTAAGCTGAAACCTTCTTCATGTTGTGCTCAGCAAACCACTTGTCACTGTTGTCTGCAGCCATGGCCTGCACAAAGACAAGTGGGAACATGGTCAGAACAGGAGGAAAGCTCTCTGGAGAGATAAATCATTTTTTAGCTACTAGCAAGGAGAACTGACACTGAAAACCAACTTTCTCTGCCACAGCAAACAACAAGACCATGCCCCAAGAGTGATGCTGGACAACTCCACCCAGGGCACCAAGTGAGATTTAAAAACTGATTTATTTTCCTTACCAACCCTGGGTGATTTGCTTCCAGGAAAAACTCAGCATGGAATGAAAATTGGATTTTACAGGTATCTCTAATCAGGAAGAAAATGAATGTGCAGCCACTTACATCATCCAACAGCTTGTCACCATTAGGGTCCACCTGGGACAGCTCTCTGAACGCTTCATCCCCCACAAAACAGATTTCGTGGCCATCCTGAAAGGAGGCAGCTCAGTTATAACCAATGGCAAGGAGGAACTGAAACCAAATTTAACCACTTTTAAAACTTTCCAGTTTTACTCACAGGATCAGCCAGAATCACCACCTGCACCGTGGCTTTGCCAGGCGTGTCCAAGCTGACCAGAGGCGTCAAGATTTTCTGATTCTCCTTTTTCATCAGGGCTTCAATGCTTGGCAGCTGGAAACAGAAAACAAACCCAAATCACCTCGCTGCCAAAGAGATAAACTATCTGCTCAGGGTTTTGTTAACACCAAAACAACCTTCCCCAGCTGGGGGGAGGGAAATGGGGCTGTTACCTCTTCCTTGGCACAGGAGAAGGCGATGCGGCCGAACGCTGTCCCGTGGTCCACTGCTCCTCCAACAGCCTTCAGCTCCAGCTTGCACTGGGACAGGGAAAAACCCAGCCTGGCTTGCAGGGACACTGCTCCAGCCTGCAGCTGATTCCAAAATCCCCCATCCACGCCTTTCCCAACAAGCCACAGCAAACCACAGCTTTGCTTTTTTATTTTTAAAAGCGCAGCTGGGTGTATACAGCGTCAATTAAAACACTCATCATTAAGGGCACAGTTGCTCTAATTAAGAGCTTTTTTCCTGAAATTGGTGATTTTTCCAAGGACTGACCTGGTTATCAGCATAGCCCAGCAAAGCCCTTTGTTTCTCCTCATCCTTCTCATAGATTTTCATCCCAAGCAAACCAGACCAGTAGCTCACAGACTTCTGCAGGTTTGAGACACCCAGGGTTACCTTCCACACAGGATCTTGAGGATTGCAATAATTTCACATTAGCTACAAACACATTATAGCTTTAAACCCACAGTTAATGTCATTAGTATTCTTGAGAAGTAACAAAGAAATTATAAAAAAAGTGTACTGTTCTACAAAATGCCATCAAAATAAACACACTCTGATACCCCACTGTTAAACCTCTGCTGAACACCAGCAGGGGTATTTCACCTTGCTTGGGCTGTTCTTTGTCTTCCAGGTAGAATTTGTATCCTCCTGGGGCTTCAGCTTCAAAGACACCAGAGGTGACTTCTTTGAGGGGCCACCCCATCTTCTTGGCATTGCTCACAGCCTGGCTGGACACCAGAGTGATGCCCTAGAGAGGACACAACACAATCCATGGGGTGGAGGCAGAGACAGAACCTCCTTCCACACAGGAAACACGAGATCTCCATCTGCTGCCAGCCACTAAATCACAAAAATTATCAAAATAATAAATATAAGAGTGTTTTCCTGCAGCAAGTTCCTCCTGTTGGATCTGGCAGCAAACACCAGCTGTCCCACACAGCAGAGGGAGAGCTCCAGAAATGTTTCCTGGACCTCTAAGTGAGCACAAATCTGCTCTGGATTCTGCTCTTCCAACTCAGAGACAACCATAAAAGCAACGATTATGTGGTTAAGGGACCCAACAGCATAAAAATAAGCAGCTGTGACAAATGAGCTCCTAATTATCAAGGTAAATCAGCTTATCATGAGTGGAACTCACCAGGAAGTCGTTGCCCAGGCGATATTCTCCAATGCCATAATTGTAAGTCAGCTCTGCCACAAAGTGATTGTCCTCTGGTCCGTAGCCCACCATGGTCTTGCTCCATTTTCCATCATAAGGGCTGGAATATCCATATTATCCATATTTTAATGTCATTAGCATTGAAATAAACCACCAAGAACTGCGAGTATTTGTGTTTCAAGGAGGAGTTGTGTTTCTAGAGTGAAATCGTGGCAGATTTGACCCCGGGCTCTCTTCATATGATAAAAGCAATTCTACCTCATTAACAGCTGGTGCTTTAAGAGCACAGGCTGCTCATTAGCTGCAATTACATAATCACTTCCTTATTGCTAAGTAGGAAAGGGCACCAAACTGTAAGATTCCTTCCACTTCACAATGAAATGCATTCCTCTTTCTTCTTCTTTTAATTTCTTTTTCTTTAGCCTTGGGCTACCAGGAGGGATTTTTAACTCAAGAACCTTGATAGTGCCATGCTTATCTAAACAATCAGTGGAACTGGAGTCCTGATAAGCTGAGAAATTCCTGATAAACTGAGAAATAATTAAGTATCAACCTAGAGGCGTGGTATTTCTGTGCAATATAAACACCACACCTACACAGAGTGGGGGGCTGCAGGTTCCAAGGGAAGCAATTTAATAAGAAACAACCCAAACTTTATTTTACTGGGAACAACAGCTGCACCGGGCACTCACCCGTTGCAGGTGGCCTTGCAGCCCTCCTCGAACTCCTCGTGCCGCAGCACCTGCAGAGCCACGAGGTGCCCTGGCTTGGGAGGGGATCCCGTGGAGCATCCCCTCGATCCAAGCCGGAACTCCTTCCCCAGGCCCAGGGAAGCGGGTGGGAACAGGGCCAGCGCGGGCAGGAAACGGCTCCTGTCCCATTCCCATCCCCATCCCATTTCCCATCCCGTCCCCATCCCATTCCCGTCCCCGTCCTATCCCCATCACATTCCCAACCTCATCTTCATTCCCATTCCCATTCCATCCCCATTCCCATCTCATTCCCATCCCCATCCCATTCTCATCCCCACTGCCATCTCATTTCCCATCCCATCCCCATCACATTCCCATTCCATCCCCGTCCCCATCTCCATTCTCACTCCCATCCCAATTCCCATTACCATCCCAATTCCCATCCTCATCCCCATCCGAATTCCCATCCCATCCCCATCCCCACCCCTTCCCCATTCCCATTTCCCATCCCCCTTCCCCATCCCCACCCCCTTCCCCATTCCCATGTCCCATCCCCATTCCCATTTCTCATCCCCACCCCTTCCCCATTCCCATTTCCCATCCTCATTTCCCTTCCCCATTTCCCATCCCCATCCCCAGGGCCGCGCCCCGGCCCCACGGCAGCCGCGGCCCCGCCCGCTCCCGGCCACCACCCGCCGAGCCCCCCTCCGCCGGTGCTCACGGCCATGCCCAGCAGCTCCCGGTAGAACCGCGCCGTGCGGGCCCGGTCTCCCACTTTGAAGACGAAGTGCAGCGCCCTGCGGGCGGCCATGGCGGCGGCCGTGACGTCAGGCGGGGCGTGCCGTGACGTCAGGCGGGGCGTGCCGTGACGTCACGGGGCGGGGCCATGGCGGCGCTGGGCCGCGCCGGGCGGGCGCTGCTGTGGCGGCGGGCCGAGCCGGGCGGGCGGCGCGGGGTGCGGGCGCTGCGGCGGAGCCCCGTGAGGGTGCTGCAGCCGCGGAGCCCCGCGGAGCGCCCGCGGAGCCCCGTGCGGGAGCCGCCGCCGCCGCGGAGCCCCGCGGAGCCGCCGCCGCCCGCCGCGGAGCGCAGCGCGGCCGCGCCGGGGCCGCGGTACGAGAAGGCGGCGGCCGGGGACCGCAGGCTGGGGTGAGCGCGGGGAGCGGGGCCCGGCCGCGCCGCCCCGCCGCACGGGAGGGAGGGAGGGAGGGAGGGAGGGAGAGCGACACACGCCGCGCTGGAGGAACCGGGAGGGCTTCATAGAACCGGGGAGGGGTTGGTTCTTTAATCTCCATTCGCTCTCGAGGGGAGATTAAAGCCCGGCCCGTTCCACCCGTACCATGGACAGGGGTATATTCCGCCAGACCAGGTTGCCCAAGCATCATCCAGCCTGGCCTTGGGATCCAGGGGCAGCCACAGCTGCTCTGCCAGGGCAGGCGCCAGGGCCTCAGCACCCTCCCAGGGAGGAATTCCTTCCCAATATCCCATCTAATCCTGCCCTCTGGCAATTTAAAGCCACTCCCCATCATCCTGGCACTCCAGGCCCTTGTGGAAGCCCTTCCCCAGCTCTCTTTCAGGTGCTCTGATCCCACCCCAGGGCCACCTCGCCCAGCCTTTCCTCCTAGGACAGGTGCTCCATCCCTCAGATCACCTTTGTGACCTCCCGGAGAAGCTCTCAGGGGCTGGTGAAGGTTTTCTGAAGGTGCTGTGAGCATCACGGCCATGTTCTCTGAATAATTTCTCCACAGAAAAGTGGTGACTATCGCCAAGTCAAAGAAGTTCCGAGATAATCACGGGAAGGTTCTGCTGGAGGGGCACAGGCTGATCAAGGATGCACTGGAGGCAGGGGCTGTGCCACAGACTCTCTTCTTCAGCACTGTGGGGCACCTGAAGCTGCTGCCTGAGGCAGAGATAAAACGAGCCAGCTTGGTTAAGGTGAAATTTGAAGACATTAAGACATGGTCTGACCTCGTGACTCCTCAGGGGCTTCTTGGTAAGTTGCCTCGAAAACAGTTGCAACACTGCCCAAAGGGAAACTTTTCATATTTAGGGTAATGACTCTCTTAATAATCTTTCCTTCGACATAGCACTGATGGAAAATAAGTTTTCCTTGCCAAGTGACAAACTCTGCTCACACTTCCTTTAGGTGGTGCTTTTCCTAACACTTCCTCTGGCACATCTTAAGTGAAATCTGGGCCAGCTCTTTCAGAGCAGGCCTCTCCTGGGGGTGGGTCAGTGAAAAACCTGTCACACTTCATTTCCACAGGCATTTTTTCCAAGCCTGACCCTGCCAAGATGTCCTACCCTGCAGCTCAGCTCGCCAACTCCCTGCCACTGCTCCTCATCTGCGACAACATCCGAGATCCAGGAAACCTGGGGACTATTCTGAGATCTGCAGCAGGAGCAGGCTGTGAGAAAGTGCTGCTCACCAAAGGTAAGAGAAAAGTTTGAGTAGCCTGGGGGTAAAGAGGTGCTTGAGGATGTTCCCCAGAGTTCCTAAGGAGTGGCTGGCTTGGTTGGCTGTGGCTGTGAATCCCACCTCTGTGGGGACCCCTCTGCTGTCATGGTTTCTCCCCATTCCTTCCCAGGCTGTGTGGACCCCTGGGAGCCAAAGGTGCTCCGTGCAGGCATGGGGGCTCATTTCCGTGTGCCCATCATCGCCAACCTGGACTGGGAATCTGTTCCCACCAACCTCCCTGCTGGCATCCAGGTCTGCGTGGCCGACAACAACGACCCCGACGCTCCGGCCGGGAGCACGTCCGTGCCCAGAGGGGCTGGCAGGGCTGGCTCTGCTCCTGCCAGCCCAAAAGCTCCCGTGAAATCCAGCCCCAGGGCTGCTCCCGAGCACGAGGATGAGGAGGCAGCAGCAATGCCAGAGCTGGCTGCACAGCATTACTACGAGGACTGGGCCCGGGCGCCGGTGGCCGTGGTGGTCGGAGGGGAGACCCACGGCCTGAGCCCGGCCGCGCTTGGGCTGGCAGCCAGCACGGGGGGGAAGAGGCTGCTCATCCCCGTGGTGCCAGGCGTGGACAGCCTGAACTCTGCCATCGCTGCTGGCATCGTGCTCTTCGAGGGCAGGAGGCAGCTGCTGTGGAGGCACAAGCAGGAGGATGGCAGGCAGAAGTTGCCTGTGCCAGGCTGAACTGTTTGGGTGCTGAAGGAGCACCTCTTGCCTTCCGTTCTTTGAGGGTTAATAAAAGAGCAGCTCGGGCTGTTTGGTTTGTAGTAAATGAGTGTTTAAGGCTGGAGAGTGCTGGGATGAGTGTGTGGCCACACGGTGATGCTAGAGAGGAGGAAAAGGCCGGGGAGCAGCCCTGGCCTCTCCTCAGCCGCTTTCCCCCTGCTCCAGCCCTTCATCCAGGAGATCCATGGAGACCTCAGATCCCTGTGTGTGCTGGCCCAGCCAGGCTGCTGCTGACAGCGTGTGTCCCTCCCAGCCTGGCTGTGGTTTTGGGTCACAAACACCAGATTGATGCTACCTGAGTGGGTCCTGCCTGTGCTTACCCAAATCCTGTGCTCCAGCAATCCCTCCAACCCTGCCACGGCCAGGCTGGCTGGCGTGTCCGAGCTGCAGCACTCCTGACCACGGGCTGCTCCTGGAGCTGCTCTCCTGCCAGTTCATCACTGCTGAACTCGGGAACCCCCAAAACGTGCAAAACACAGGCTGGGTTTGCACAGGCCGAGCTGGCGGCCGCTCCCAGCTCCTGGCGGGGTGGGAAGCTGCAGCAGGATAAAAGCAGAGGCCATAATCCTGCCATGGCTGACTAATGAGCTGAAAGGGAGAAGCAGTGGCTTGCACAACACCAGCTATTCAGGCTGGGAACGCCCCAGTGGCTGCCAAAGGGCTCCCTCCCTCCTGGGGAGCTCCGAGCAATGCAGGCACAGCCAGGGCTGTGTCAGCCCAGGGGGAACACACAGAATAAATCCCAGGAGCCACCTATCCATGGGGTCAGGCTGTGGGCTCCTCTTCCCCCACACAGGTTTCCTCCCCCACAGCAGGACGCAGCAACGGAGGTCATTGTAACAGTTTTATTACAAAGTTCCAATCACCATGTACAGTTTTTACAATGTCACTTTTCAAGGGCTCGGCTGCGCTGCTTGGGTTAGGGGGGGAAAGTTTTTTTCTTAGGGTTTGGGAGGGGTTTTTTTTTTGTTTGTTTGTTTGTTTGTTTTTTAAAGAACAGCACCGTTAACGTTGAGTTTGGGACACACCTACGAAAAACAGCTCAGTCAACTAACACAGAGGGGAGAGAGGACAATTCATACCAGAGAGAAGGACGAGAGGGGACAGGGGGAGCACAAGGAAGAGACGAGAGGGGAGGGCAGCCCGGTGGTGATCCTCCTCCTGGCTCAGAGTGGGAGGGACAGGGAATACCCACCCATGGCAGGGGGATGGACCCTGACACAACAGCCAGCGCTGCCTAAGGCTGTCGGTGCTTGGATGGGGGGTGGAAAACCCACAAGGTCTCACCCCCAGGAGGAAGAGCTTGGCTGTGCCGTGGTCTTTCAGAGGTTGTCAGCAGTTAAGACTTTGTCTTGGCCTTGTCAGGGCACTTTCGTGGGAGAGAAAGAACTGGCCAGGGGCAATGGGGACAGTTTCCTTATTGCTTCCTGGAAGTCATTTAGTCAGCAGGGGTGGTGAGGAAGGAAAGAAGGAGGGGAGGAGAAAGCAAAGAGCCCCAAGGAAGCCCACCCACTGCCTGATGCATACGTTGGGAAGAACACCATGCAAAAAGATTTGCCTGCTAGCTAGTGCCGTGTATAAAATAACGATACGGTAACAGTTCTGGCCTGGTTATTAGAGGTTATTATATCACCATGAAGCACAAGCGAAGTCTCCAAACGCCAACAACTCCCTGCTGAAAGTGCATCTCAAGGAGTTTGCTTAGGAGGAGGATTCACTGCGTAAAACAAGGCACCACAAGAAGGTTGGATACTGGGTCGGGCGTGAGGACACGCTGGAGAATCCACAAGCGGCGGAAGAGAGACCTAGTTTTAAATAACGTCTGTTGGCACAGGGGCCCCTTAGATGGGCTCGGGTTTTAGCTTGTCTGCTAGAAAGTCGCTGACAAAGGCTTCCACGATTTCGGGCGTGATCTCCTCCACATCCATCACGTACTTGGCCCGGGCTGACATGTCCAGGATGGTGAGCAGGGGTGCAGCCTCGGGCAGGTTGGTGTAATCCCGCAGGGAATCGGTCATGTCGTCCTGGAGACCAAAAGGAGAAGGACAGAGGAGTCAACAGCAGAGCCAGGAGACCAGGAGCAGCTTGCTGCTGCCACAGTCTATCCCAAGAGGCTGCGCCTTGCAGCAGCACCACAATACCACCAGCATAGCAGGCAACGTCCATCTCGGTGCCTGCTCTGCTCGTGGTTCGTGTCACAACCAGACGGGGTTGGTTTATCCCAGGCTGGAATGGGACATCCACTCCTCCAACCCAGAGGCACTGCTTCCAGACCGACCTGCTGCCCCAGCCACCCCAGAGCCTCTGGGACATCCACAGCTCAAGGAAACTGGTGACAAGTGCTGAACGTGGGGACTGCCAGCCCTCTGCCAGCACAGCCACTGCTTGGTGAGCTCACCGCTCACCAAGGGCAGATACCAAAGGGACCCAAGCGCACACCCAGAACAAAGCAAAGAACAGGAACGGGATGAAGACTTGTGCTTTGAGCCAACGATGAGACCCCACCAGCAGGTCCCAGTGAGTGGGCACCCACAGGAGCAGCATGCTGCTTGCAGGGGGAGAGAGCTGCCCTCCCCTCGCCCCGGCACAGGCAACGATCCATCCCTCTGAAGGCTGAGGGATGCAAAGAGGCGGCAGCGGCGCGATTCCTCGCCGAGCCCACGCAGCG